AGTGCATGAGTCATATTTAATAACTACTACAGCAAGCAAAATGTGGGCCACTACATCAAAAAACTCGAGCACAAAGCCTTGCCCTCTGAGAACATACATTTTAAAAGAAATTATACTTAAAGATTAGATCTTATGTTTGCAGGCCAAAGGAATGCCAGAAAAGAGCCAACCTGGGTGTTTTGTCTAGAAATCTGCATTCACATCACACATACCTCATGTGTGTCCTAAGAGTACTTGGAGTGCTAGCTGTGCCACCATCATTATTTGCTTCTTTCTTTCTTTATTTTTATTGAGGTATAGCTGATGTACAATAGTATATGTTACACGTGCACAGTATAGTGATTCACAATTTTTAAAGGTTATACTCCATTTATAGTTATTATAAAATATTGGCTATATTCCCTATGTTGTACAATATATCCTTGTAGCTTATTTCATAAATAATAATTTATACCTCTTAATCCCCTACCTCTGAATTCCCTATATCCCTACCTACCCCTATATAGGGGTAGGGCATTATCTGCCTCTTTAAAATTTGTATAATGTCCAAAAGTCCTGATCTGAAGTTACTTTGGAACGAACTCTCTTTAAGGGAATTATCTAAGGCAGTTATATGATCGTTTATGAAAAAAGAGAAAGATTTGACAGATGCATGCACAGTGCTGAAACTTAGTGTGACAAACCTTGATCCGCAACTGAAAGAGAGTATCACCTTACGGGAAATTTTAGGGTACACTTTCCCCTGTATATTTTCTGAGCATTTCTCAACATTTTTGTCTCTTCTCCTCGTCTGAGAAAAAGAGATATCTTATTACTACAGAGGCACATTTGTGTAAACAAATTCCTGTAAGAGGCCTGTGTCATATCCTGAAGCACAAAGCCACTGAATTGCGCAGTACTATGGAAAGATACTCATTTCAAAATGGGAACCCTTAGAACTCATTAAGTCAAGAATCTGGAGACTAGTTATCTCATGAGAAAGAGAATGTTCTGGCTCTAGAAACATAATTATATCCTGACTGTCAGGAAAACTGCCTGGTCACTCCTAAAATAAGAGATCGTCTCACATGCTGCGCCATTGTGTAAAAGAACAGTATTTAGAGAGAGACCGCCAGAGGAAGGAACCGATACAGATGAGAAGACAAAAAAATCACAGTAATTATAGAAATACAAATGAGTTAGTGTTTTGCAAACAAATATTAGAGAGAGACTACAAAGTGTGAAAAGGCAGAGATATAATAAGATTGAGAAATGGAGCATAAGATTGAAAACAGGTGTTAGACACAGAATTTCTGGTGCTGAAAACCAGAGGTAGGCAGAAGCGTGCTTCTCTGTTCTTGCACTTCAAAGCTTTGAGATTACTGAGGCTCAGAGAAGGACTGCTGATGAATGATGAAAATCAGGTGCCCAGGAGGTAGGGACAAGGGGATACACACACAACCCAAAAGTCATTTAGTAATTACCGTGAGCTGTACTTGAGTCCAGGGACTTAATGCGTGGTTTTAATTTACAAAGATTAAGGAGGCCTACATACACAGATACATAGATATACACAAACACACATGCACATATATATACTTTCTGATATATTTCCATACATCTAGAATGTTTACATTTAGCTCAGTGAAAGCTCATATCGCCATAGACCTCCCTCTGCAGATTCCCTCTTTTATTCCAGGTCTAGGAGTGTCATGGAAAGCATAGGCGTGGAGAAGATACAGCTCACTGCCATAAACGGGCTTTAGAGAAACAAAGCACGTCCTGGGAGCAAACTTCCTATTTCCAAGATGAATTGTAAAACGTGTGTTGAGGGCATTCATCAGGAAATCATGGTTTTGAGGTCATGAAAGATGAGAAAGGTCTACACAGCACCCCATTTTAAATTCCAGAGAATATTCACCTCTGAGTATGGTCCAAGCTAGTAGGACTCTTAGGAAACCTGTTTGCCTGTATTGAGTGGTACTCCTGGGCGAGGAAATTAAAATCATAAAACAAAACAGACAAACAAACCAATAAATCTGTTCATCAAAGAACTGGTTTGAGTAGTAGAAAAAAAAAAAAAAAAGCCCTAGCGATTCTGGTCAGAACAGTCAAAGCAGTTTGCTCATGTAGAGCTGAGTGTCTCCATATTTATATACAAAACTACTGTAACATCAATCAACTCTCTCTGATGATATTAACCTTGAAGGCTGTTTTACTGTTAATCAGCTCATCAAGGAGGTGTACCAGTACACAGGGACAGTAGAAGGCATGCATGTAAAGATAGACTTCCCGGGGGAAAGACCCTAAGGCTGTCTCAGCTGTGGCCACTGGCTCAAGACCTCCCCATCAAACCCAATGCACATGTGTTCAACTCCTGCTGCTTGAGCCTCACAGTTTCTGGACATCACTTCTCTGCTCCAGTTTGGCTTTTACTCCCATTCCAACCAGTTTTCTACAGTCAGAACCCTGTTCTGCTCCGTGTTGCCATGGAGAGCGACTTCCACTCAACCTTCCTTTTCCCACTCTGACCAGGAGTTCCATCCTTCTACTTTTTCGCTCACCTTATTCCACTATCTGTATTCACCCATTTGCTTCAAGCATCCAGGGATTTTCCCCTGCTGTGTTATTCCTGGACATCTCTCCATCTCTCTCTACACTTTCTTCCTTCCAGCTTGGACCTCGTGACCCTCACCTCAACCCCTCCGTGGTCCCCCCAATATCAGCCACGTTTTTCAGACAGAATCCCAACCCTCAAGCTCTCTGTCTCCGTCTTCTACTCACAAAATTTCTTTGGTCCTACTACCAAGACACAAAACATGTTTTAGGAAAATAATCACCAAATCATGGACATTGGTGCCAATAGACAGTCATGCAGTCATGATCTCTGGCCTCCACTGGGTCTTCCACACAACGGTATCTCTCTCATTCATTCACCATCCACTCCAAGCCTTTATCCTCATCTACAAGGTCCTGCCCTGAATCCATTCCTTCCTTCTCAGGAGATGACCATGTTTCCTTCACAGGCGCCCTAGAGATCACACGGGACCATCTGTCCTCAGTTTCCTGTTCCTCTCACCAAAACACTGTTCTGCACTCACTCCATTACCTGCCTTACCTGCTCTCATTTCCATGAAGAAAGTATACCTCCTTTCAACCAACTTCCTATTTGCTGCCCAGATTCCATCTCTTTGTCTCCTTAGGAGCCTTCCTCTATATCTCTTACCTGTCCAGATTTTTTTTCGGTTAACATTGACTGACCACTTCCATAGTCTATCCCAGACACTCAGCTAAAAACTGCATATTTTATTTCATATAAGTTCTATAATAACCCTGTAGATTAGGTACCACTTCCCTGGATTCATTCTCCCTGTCTCCTAACAAAACCTTCCTTTGGTCCTGTCTGGACTTCTAGCTCCAGCTCTCCAGCCCTGCTTCCCTTTACTATCAAGCTTCTTGAAAGAGTAGCCTCTGTCCTCTTTGTCACCTTCTACTCGTTCCTCAAGCCTTTTCTGCCAAGACTGCACTTATTGACTGAAATAAAAACTTCCTGGGCTTCCATGGTGGCGCAGTGATTAAGAATCCATCTACCAATGCAGGGGACACGGGTTCG